GTGCTGATCCCAAACCAGCTCCTGGGTAGGCTGTGTTGGACCCAGAGGACAAGGGACCCCTTGGAGGACCGGTTTCCTATTGGTACCACAGCAGGCATCTCTGGCAGAGCTGTAGGACAGGGCTCCCAGGGTGCAGGGGTTGGGTAGGCCTGTTTTGACAGGCAGGGCAGTTCCACCCCTGGCAGGAGCAGCATCTACAGAATTCGATCCCTTCCTCCGGATAAGATACTGTGGAGGTGAGCTCAGGTGTGTGGGTGAAGTATCTGGCTGAGGTGAAGGAGCTGGGAGAAGGACAGGTGGAAGGAAATATGGAGAGGCTTGTGCTACCCCAGTGGGCGGCCTGGCGCAGGCCCAGCTGCCTGTGACCACAGTGGTTCTTCTTCCTTCCAAACCTGGGGTGGGAGACAGCCTTTTCACATCCCACCTTTCGGCCAGAGCAGTGGAAATTTGCCCAGGACGCTTGAGGGTTCGTCCCACCTTGAAATCACTGAGCCTCCAGCCTGGAGGGGCCTGGGATGGCAACCAGTGTCTGCCTTAGAGCTGGGGGCTGAGGCTCAGAGACAGGAAGTGACCTGTGTAAGCTCACAGGCTTTGGGTGGTACAGCTGGAACTGCAGTTTCACCTTGCTCTGCTTGGAGTGAGGGAAGCAAAGTCTAGACCCTGGGGAAACTGCTGTTCTGCTGACCCTCAGCTTGCTTTCAGACCCTCCGTGAGTGTTGAGTAGTCCTATCTCAGCAATGTGGGGAGGAGTGCAATTGAGCGCCCCTTGTGGTGGTGGAGGGCTTCTGTAGGGCCACCTGCTCTGATTCTTTCCATTTATTTCTGCAAAATTAATGAAGCATGCAGCATGCAAGACACTGTAGGCAAGGCCAGGAACCTTAGAACTGAACTGAGCCTGTAATCCCAGCTACTCAGGTGGCTGAGGCAGGAAAATCGAAAGTTTGAGGCCAGCCTGGGCAATGCAGCAAGACCCTGTCTTTAAAACTAAAACAAAACAAAACAAAATGGGCTAGGGATATAGCTCAGTGGCAGAGCACTTGCCCAGCCTGCATGAGGTCCTAAACCCAATCCACAGCACCAAAACAACAACAACAAAAACAATGAATTGAATTTTCCCAGGGAAAAGGCTACCATCTAGGAATGTGGCACTATAGATAAGAGACAGCCTGCAGCTTAGGGTTGCCAGCAAGTGTTGGTGATGATGAGGGGCAGAGCACCAGGTCAGGGGAAGGGTCCCTAGCCCTAACCCTTTGAACATGTGAAGGCAAGGTAAACAGCCAGCACAGGATGGCATCTAGGGGTTTTTTCAAGCATGACCACATCCCACAAAGGACTGAAGAGCAGTCCAGGCAGCAAGGCTGGGGAGGCACCTTGGGGAGCCATGTGGGCTTTTTCTGGTGGTCAGGGTGATCCCTGAAGATATTTAACCAGACTAGGAGATATGATGCGGAGAGCAGAGGCTGGACTACCAGGGAAGCCCCTCTTGACTCTTCCATTCTGAGATGTTGGACCTTGGGCAAGCCATGTTGCATTCTGGGCCTCAGTTTCTTCATCTGTGAAATAAGGATGCTAACAATGCCTACCATTCAGGTGGCTGCCAGGATCATGTAGTGCATTAGCGTGGAGCTTGGCTTGGTAAATGTGCGGTAAATGTTAGTCCTGCCATGCTTCCATAGCTATCATTGGGCCATTTGTGGAGAGGTTGAGACTGCAATACAGAAGCTTTTTCAAAAGCAGAAGGGTCTGCAGATGCAGGGGTCTAAGTCCCTGGCTAGACTGGAATCCCCTTGGTGGCCCAGGAAGGAAGCAGAGACACCATTTGATGGGAGAGAGGCTGTGGCTTCTGTCTGCTCCCAGATCTGAATGGGCAGGGGCATCTGGTCCAAATGGCCTGATGAGTGAGTGGGGACAAGAACCAGGTCCTGACTGCCCAGGAGAGCCTTGCTGCTGTCCCATGGCCATCTCCCAGAGCACCCCTTCAGGCCATGTTCCTCTATCCAGACCTGGCCTGGGCGCTGTCTCACCGGGCCCTCTGCTTTCTCATCTGAGATGAGGAGACCCAGCTTAAGGCTCTAAGGTCCAGGCTAGACACATGGCTCAGGAGCCCCACACACATGTGAACATGTCACCGCAAGAACAGCACTCTGCAGTTTGGTTGCCTGCTGAAGCATTGTGGCCACTTCTCCCCAGGGTAAAGTCACAAGACCCCCAAGAAGGCGGGAAGGGGGTCATTTAATGTAGTGGGTAGGAGCATAAGCTTTGCCTCCTGGCAGATAAATGTTGCAATTGCTGTGTCCACTAGCTAGTGTTACAGTCTTGGCTGCTTTTTCTGCAAAGAGAAGCAATAACACCCACCCTGTGTGGTAGTTGACAGTCGAATGTGGTGTACAGTAAGTATGTCAATGATGGGTTAGTGCTAGGTCATGCATATTGCAGGGGCTCAATAAATGACACAGTGAGCACCTGGTGGCCTCCAGGCTGGGGAGATGACAGAAACAAACCCTATAGAAGCTTGCTGCCCATGGGAGAGGGACAGATAGATAATAAGACCAGCTCCACCCGGTGGAGGAGGCAGGCAGAAACAGGGGGAGACCAGAAAAGACCTTCTGGAGGAGGTGCTGTCTTCATGAAGTGTGAAGAGGAATTAGCCAGGTTTGGGGAGGGGTCAGGGCCGGGACAGTGTTCCAAGTTGGGAGAAGCCACTTGATGTGTGTTAGGGCCAGAGACAGAGGATTGTGGGTGGAACGAGGAGATGCTGCCTGCCAGGGAGATCATGGATACCAGGGAGGGAGGGTGCAGCTCCCTGCAGGGGGTGCCAGGGCCCTTGGGGGTTCATGGCCAGCCACAGATGGTCTGGGTCAGGAAGACTAGAGTGGGGTCACCTGCCAGGATCCTGTCCCCTGACCTCTAGCTGCCTTAGCTCTCTTTTCTGCAGGGACTAAGAATGGGCTTTGCCTTGGGAAAGGACTCTGACACATTTTCAAAATAAAGTGGAGAGTAATCTCTAGAGGGGAAGAAGTATAAACAAGCTTTTTAAATGCAAAAGGAAATGTATTGTTTATTTATTTATTTTTAAGGTGGAAAAAATGCAGTGGAGGCCCTTAGCCAGCTCCCTTGAGTGAAAGTTTCCAACTACTGTGACAGGAGGTCACAGAGACTTCAGGGAGCCAGGTGCCTGGGGGAGGGGAGTCCTCTAATTCTAATCCATGCTCAGCATGCCACGGCCAGGGACAAAGACCTGGATTCTTCCTCCCACTAGGGACAGCTAGGGGAGCTCAGTGGAGATAGCAAAGGTTGGTAGGTAGGGAGAGCAGGTCAAACATCCTAGCAGAAAGGTCCAGATAAGCACAGAGGCCTAGGCAGGATGGGGTCTGGGGTCAGAGGAAGTGCTTCAGGTGGTCTCTGCAGAATTCCGCCTGGTGGAGATGGACAGCGAGGCCTTCCATGTAGAGCAGGAGGAGCAGCACAGGTGCATGGTGGGAAACCCTTCTGTGCTTTGAGCAAAGGGCTCGTCAGTTTTTTAAACATTTGATGATTTGTGTAACAGATCTGTTGTGCTATATTCATATGCCATATTATTCACCCACCTGTGTACAACTTTACAGAGTTATAGAATCAACACCACAGTCATTATAGTATATTTTAAGAACATTTTATTACGCCCCCCAAAAGAAACCATAGACCCATTAGCAGTCACTCTTCATCTCCCTCCCCTAGTTCTAGGTGACTACTAATCTTCTTTTTGATTCTATGGATTTGCCTATTCTGGATATTTTATGATATATGGCCTTTTGTGTCTTGCTTCTTTCACTTAAGCACAATGTTTTCAAGGTTCATCTGTGCTGTAGCATGGATCAGTACTTTATTCCTTTTTATGGCTAACTAGTATTCGTATATGAATATTGTATGTGATATAGGTATGGCACATTTTGTTTGTCCATTCATCGTTTGAGGGACATTTTCCGCTTTGGGGGTACTGTGAATATGTTGCTATGAATATTTGTGTACAAATTTTTGTGCAGCTGAGTGTCTGGAGGACATTCCTTTATTTTATTCTTGCAGTTCTGGGGATTGAACCCAGGACCTTCACACTGAGCTGCATCCCCATCTCTTTTTAAATTTTTTATTTTGAGACAGGATCGCAAAGTTGCCAAGTTCCCAGGCTGGGCTCCAACTTGTGATCCTCCTGCTTCAGTTTCCCAGAGTCCTGGGCTTACAGGCATGTGTCCCCACACATGGCAGGACATTCTGATTTGAGTGGCATCTAAGAGAGTTGTGGGGGGCAGTGGAAGAAAGAAGGTGAATCGGGGGAGCTGGCCCCCTCCCTAGTCTGGGTGCTGTGAGAAGGAGAAAGCTCAGGACAGGTTCCAGCCTCAGTGAGAGCCAGGAGTCCACGAGGGCCCCCACCAACCTGCATTGTCCTGTCAGACCTGGAAGCTGTTTGCAGGGCTGGGACTAGCCTAGTGGGCTGGTATTCTCCCTGGAAATCAGGTGCACAACCCCCTAGTCCTGCTGAGGGCCAAAATTAGTTCACCACAGAGACAAGTGTGGGCTCTACAGTTGGGCTAGAGGAGGGACTGTGGTCAACAGGAAGCTGTTTTCCAGGGGAATGAGGTGGTCAGGAAGCCCAAGGTCAATAAGCATGATGCTCCTGGCCCCCAACACATACAGAGAGGTGGCTTTGTTTATAGGAAACTTCGCAAGTTATCTGTTGACCCCATCTGGCATATGGGGAAACAGAGGCACTGCATTAAAGGAATCTGCCATTCAGAGACAGAAAGGAAATCAAAGCTGTTCTCCTCTGAACATCACATTTGGTAAAATCATGGTCTTGTCCCCTGTCCTCTTCTGTCTTGGAACAACACTGGGAAAAACCGAGGATACAAAAACAAGAGAGTTGTGCTGTTATAGTCTCCTAAAAAAGAACACCAAACCCCGAAACAAAAACACAAAATAGGACTTTAATTACCATCTTTTCCCCCCTTTTTTTAATTCTCCAGCCAGAAAACATTATGTTGTTAGACAAGAATATTCCCATTCCACACATCAAGCTGATTGACTTTGGCCTGGCTCATGAAATAGAAGATGGAGTTGAATTTAAGCACATTTTTGGGACACCAGAATTTGTTGGTAAGTTTTAGGCCTGTTTCTGTCCCAGAGCAGAATCTGGCAACAAAAGGTAGAGAAATGCCAAGAACAAACCTTGGGTCTGGGGCTGTGGCCTCTGGGCAGACGGACGATGCCTAGGACCCCCTAGAAACCTAACAGGTAGGAAGGAAGTATTGCCAGGCCCCTGGGAGTGGGAGCAGGTGCAGGCCCTGAGTGCCCAGTAGGACAGTGGGTGGCCAGGGGAGCAGAGACCTTTGCAGAATTAAACCTTCCCAGAGCTGGTCCCACCTCTCACCCTTACGTGAGTTCATTGTGTAGATTTAGAATCACCTCACCATCTTGCATCCTCCTATCACCTCAGCCTTCAGGAGTGGCTCGTGATTTCCTGAAAAGGAAAGAAGCAATCATCTGCTACATGCCAGGTCCACCCACTGCTCTCCTGGGTTCCTGGCCTTTATTCTTGCAGAGGGGTGCCCAGCTGTAGTGGACCCTGGCTGCTGTCTGTTCCCTTTGGGAGGGTGCTCTTTCACCCTTGGCCCAGGCCCCACATGGGAATCCTGCACCCTAGAATCCAACTCATGGGGGCTTGAGCTGGAGGTTGGGAGTCACAGAGAAGCAGCCCGGCAGAGAGGAAAGGACTGTGTGTTCAGAGCCTCTCTCTCTCTCTCTCTCTCTCTCTCTCTGCCTCTCTCTCTCTCTCTATCTCTCTCTCTGTCTGTCTCTGTCTCTCTCTCTCTCTCTGGGAGCTAGAGTGGTCTTGGAGGTGGGGTTTCCCCATGACCTGGGGTCTGAAACTCCTGACCACAGAAGGAGGAAGGACCATAGAAGAAAGACAGAATGTTCCAGACCTTCGAGCTGATGAACTCCAGCCCTCAGATACTAGTTCTGCAACTACTAGGAATGGGATTCCAGAGACCTTACAGGCCCCAGAGCAAGGAACCCAGACCATGTGCCAGGAGCTCTGCAGATTTTTTCTCAGATAATTTCCAAATGACATCATGAGACCAATTTCATTGTCTTGCCCATCAAGTGCCTTGTTTCAGGCAACCCAACCAGTAGGCAGTGGTGCTGAGATTCAAACCAGATAAGCCAACATCAAAGCTTGCCTCTTCTGTTACACTGAGTTGTCTCTTAAGAAGACCCTCCCCTCAAGGAGCTTTGAATGTCATTGTGGACTCAAGACACCAAACCACCAATTAAGAGTCTAGATCACCTGGTCTAGTTTAACAACATGAAAATGCAGGACTGGAGGATTCCAATTAAGGTCACCAAAGTCATTCTTCACTTACTGCATGACAGACTTTAGGAGAGCTATGGGAACACACTAGCAGTAAGGAGCCACAATCAGAATGACATACCCAAGTCACCAGAGGGTGGGAGAGCCACCTTGAACCACAAGACAAAAGACATCTAAACTTGGACTTTGTCTAAGAGAGCAGTTGCCACCCACCATTTGCATATGTGGTAAAAATGTGTATGTTCATTAGTGAAGTTTATACCAACTGCTCAATAACAGTAAATAGTTCAACTAGAAATTCAGGGAAATAATGGAAGAGGCGTCGCAAGACAGGATGTATTTAACAGTCAAGGAAGTAATATAGGCAGCTTTGGAAGACTGTTCAGAAAGGACATCCCGTCTGGAAAAGTCCATGGGTTCGTTCATGGCCTCGAGTCAATGAGGGACAAAAAGCTGGTGTTGGGGACAGGAGAAGTCACTAAGGGGCTGGAAAGAGGGCCAGAGTGGAGGAGGAGCAATTTCAGGTGCGGTGGTGACATAGCAGGGGGGTAAGGTCAGCATAGCACAAGTGCATTGGTTAGGGACAAGTCAGTGGCCACTCTGGGTAGAGTTGAGACCTTATACCAGATTGTTGGTGTGGGCAGGTTATTGATGGCTGGAACCATACCAAGAGGAGGATTTTGCTCAGTGGTGGGCTGGTAAACAAATCCTTAAGTTATACCATTGGCCAATTTCCAGCTACCAAACATGTCACTGAATACAGAGTTGACTCCTGTGAGCCTGTTTGGAGTTTTTTGCCCTATTTCACAGCTATATAAGGTGACTTCTCTAAGCCCCTGCCTAAATTGTGCTGAATTTTCCCCTCCAAGACCCCTGAGGAACAAGCTACAGCCATTTTCCCCTCTTTCCACCATTCCCTTGAAAGGTCAACTGGAACCCTAGGGTGACAGAGGCACTGCCAGTCCCAAAGGTCCTCCCCCTACACAACTGGATCCTTAAGAAAATTTCTTCTTAATGAAGTTCTGGGTTCATAGGAAATATGAAAAATCTTTAAAGGTGGTAACTTATTCTCACCCCTTGTCCCCCTGCCCTAAAATCCAGTGAGCTGAACTTAGAGCTGGAGCTGTGAGCAGCAAGAAAATTGCACAAGAGGAACCTCTCCTGATCATAGTGGCCAGAGACTTGGAAGAGGTAGAGGTTCATGGACTTAAGAAGTTGAAATTATCAGATGCTGATTATAAAATAACCAAAACATAAAGAAAATTAAGATAGGACCATAATAATGAGCAAGAAAAAATGAGATGTAAAAAAAATGATCAGGCACATTTTTGAAAGAACCAAGTAGAACGTGAAGAAATTCAATGTGCAGTCATGCGTCCTAGCCTGTCCCACCAGCTACTTCAGTAAGATGCAGTAAAAACAACTTCTTGGAAAAATCATCACACTTTGGATGTCACAGCAATGTCAGATTGCTAGAGTCTCTCAATACATATTCCTATTCTGTGCTATTTGTTAGACCAATCTGTACATTGTCTATGACCCACACTTTGCATTTTACTGTCCTAAAGAAAGCCTTTCGTGTGCCCATCAGAACACATATACAAAAAAATGTTCATAGCAATATTGTTCCAATAATAAGAGAAATAGGATCCATCCACATGATCTCTGAGAGGAGAATGTATGAAAAATGATAGTTACTATGGGTAGTTACAGTGAACTAGTATACAGCATGGAAAATGATGAATATTCATCATTTTAATATACAGACGAATATTCACTGAACAACAGAAGCGAATGAAGAACAATCAAGTGACAATAGATCACCTGCAATTTGATGCCATTTTTATAAAGCTAAAAAAATAAGCAAGGCTAAGAGAGTGGTTCTCTGTAGGAAAGGTAGAATCAGGGGAGATAGGAGAGGGAAATGGTAGCCCTGCCCCAAAGCTGCTTTAGACATTGTATTAGATAAACAAACTTAGCCTTTCCCATTCTCTGTCTTTTCCATTGGAGTTAAGTAGTCTCAATTCTTCCTCCTTCTGGAGATACTGCCCTCTCTTTTGCCTCTGTTTCATTGCCAACCTTTAAAAGAGACCCTTATTTCACTTCCCACACTTTGGACCTTGGGCACTGATGAGTGTGGATTTCAACACTCTCTCTCTTGCTCATCTGCTTGGTCTCTCTGGGCAGTGTGTGGACCTGTTCTGTCCTCAGAAGCCTTCTCTCCACCGCCACACTCTTTCTCACTCACTGGGTTGTTGGCTCAGCTCCACCTTGTACCTGGACATCAGTGACTCCATATTTGATGCTTCAGGCCTAGCTGCCCTCCATCTTCCCTGGCTGCTCCTGGGGCCCCTTGGGCTCATCATCTCACCTTGGTGTCCCCCAAAGATATCCTCTGCCCTTCAGGTGGGTGGTCCCCTCTTCCAACTAGACATGGGAAGGTGGAGTCTCTCTCTGGCTTCTTTTCTTTGCCTTCACCTTTCAGCTCTGACCTGTCTGTGTCCACCAGAGAGATCTAAAGCAGGTCTCGTCATGAGGTCGCTGTTTCTCCTTCCTGATGGCTTCCCCTCCTCACACTCCTCTTCCTGTTGGGGAGTTCCTATGTCCTTTCCCTCTCCCTCACTATCAAGGCCTGTTTGTAGAAGGTCTCTACCAGACTAACGGGCAACTTGTGTTTCAGTCTCTTTGGGACTGCTATAATAAAACACCTTCACCTGGGTAATTTATGAACAATAAAAAGTTACTGCTCACAGTTCTGGAGGCTTGGAAGTCCCAGATCAAGGCATCAGTAGAGTCAGTGTCTGGAGCGGAACCAGACGGTGGAGCCTCTGTGCTCACATGGCAGGCGTGAACAGCTTCCCCTGTCTCTCTCTCTCTCTCTCTGTCTATCTCTCTCTCTCTCTCTCCCTCTCTCCCTTTACATAAGCTACATCCCTATCCCCTTCTTTATTTTGAGGCAAGTCTTGGTAAATTGTCCAAGCTGGACTCGCACTTCTGATCTCCTGCCTCAGCCTCCCAGAGTTGTGAGGTTACAGGCAGGTGACACATGCCCAGCCCTGGGGTCTCTTTTATTGGGTACCTTCTCCGTGACCTAATCACCTGTCATGCTGGGGGTGAGATTTCAACTTGTGAACTCTGGGGAAACATTTGGGCCACAGCAGCATTCTTCCTCAAAATCCTTAGAGACCCAGATTACCCTCATCTGCTGCTTGGCTTTTCCTCACTGGGATTCAGGATGGAGACATTCCCTAGAATCCCCCACATCCTCTCCTCTTATTTCCGCCTCTTCTTGACTGCTGAACATGACTTCTTTCAGCTCCAGAAATTGTGAACTACGAGCCCCTGGGGCTGGAGGCTGACATGTGGTAAGTGGTACAGCCTGCCCTGGGGGCCTAGGGACCCTGCCCGGAGCAGAAGGCTTCAGACCCTATTTTTTTGACTTCCGGTTGACCGTGAACCCCATTTCTCCACACTCACATTTCAGAGTCTCTGGCTGTGGCCAGGGCAGTGGGAGGTGGCAAGGCCTGGGTCCAAGGCCAGCTAAGGGTGGAGTGAGAGCCAGAGATCTGTGCAAGGGTGAGGGGAGGGCAGGGCCGATGCAGGCTCCCTCAGGGCCAAGACAGTATAGACAGTGGCTCTTGGAGTTGGCCCACCAAGTGTTCGCTGGGAGCCTCCTGTGTCCTAGGACAGCATTAGCCTGGGCAGATCTTGATCATTTACTGGGATCCATTTCTTTTTTGAATGCTGCTTTACATTGGTCAAGGTCTTTATGACTTTTCTAAAACTCTTCCAGCTGTCCTGCGGGTAGTTCTCATTATTTTCATTGTATAAGGCAAAGCGGGCTCAGGGGTGGTAAGCGATGTGCCCAAATTGCAGAACCCAAAAGGAAAGGCAAAAGTCAGATCTGCCCTCAGGCCTTTGGACTCTAGGGGCAGAACTCCATGCTGCTTAGGAGTGGGATGCAAGAGGTATGAGCTTGAGATGCCACCCAGGGGCTACCCGGAGAAGGAGGGGGAGAGTGGCCTCTTGCCCCGAGAACATGCAGGGAGTCCCTTCCTGGTTGGGATTGGAGCCAGGCGGCCCTGACTCGACTGTCCTTTGTTTGCAGGAGCATCGGCGTCATCACCTACATCCTGTGAGTATCCTGATCCTGGGGCCCTGACCCAGCTCAGATGGGAGAAGCGGAAGGGAAGACAGAAGGGTAGGGGGACGCATGGGCTGACATTGCTGAGCAGGCTGCATGCCTTAGGTCCACCCAGCCCTGAGGCTGCACCCTCCCAATCTCACCTCTTCTCGCTTCCCTTTCCTCTTCCTTTCTCCAGATCCCTGTTCTTTCCTCTCACTCTCTCCTCCTTTCTTTTCCCCCTTCTGTGTCCTGAGTTTCCTGTCGCTTATGCAGAAAGCTCCTGCTTAATTCCTTCGTGCAGTGGGTCTCCTTTGCTGTCCCTTGATGGCCCTAGGCAGGTGCTTATGCTTTGGGTCTGCTTTTCTCATCAGAAAAATGAGAATGACAGACTCGCTGCCCCAGGGAGAGGGGCCCACTAGGCTGACTCAGACACATTTCCTAGGCCCTGCTGTAGTGCCTACGTGGCAAAATCAGCTTGCAGCTGTGGGGCAGGAGGATCACGCTGGTGCTCCACAGATGAGGCTCATTCTCTCAGGGGCCCCATCAACCAGCTCTGTGACTCACTGTGGTGCTTGACTGGGAGCTCTGTCCATAGCATGTAGGTGCCGTGGGCATCTCCAGGGTCTCACTGCTGGCCCAGACCCCACCTTAAGACTCTGAAGTTAGAACAGCTAGGGGTAGAGCCTCAGGTTACTATCTTTAAGAACCCCAGTGGAGGCTGGATGTGATAGTACACATCTGTGATCCCAGCACTCTGGGAGGCTGGGGCAGGAGGATAGCAAGTCCAAAACCAGCCTGGGCCAGGTGCTTACCTCAGTGGTTCCACCACCTGCCTCGAAAACGCAAGGTCCCAAGTTCGATCCCTGGTACCAAAAAAAAAAAAAAAAAAAAAAGACCAGCCTGGGCAATTTAGCTATCTTGTTTTAAAATAAATAAAAATAGGGCTGGATACATAGCTCAGTGTGAAGGCCCTGTGTTCAGTCCCCAGTACTGAAAGAAAAAAAAAAAGAAGCTAAATTTGATTCCAAGAAGCTATAATTCCCGATCAGAGTCAAACTGTTCAAATATAGGCTTGCAACCTGGGTTTCTTCAGGATTCTCCTCATACTGAGCTGTTAAGGGATTCCAGGGTGTACAGTGCACACAGCCTTCTTATGGCTCACCCACATCTGACAGCTTTCTGGGTGATCTGCTCTTTTTTTTTTTTTGGTATCGGGGATTGAACTCAGGTCCTTCTGCTTATAAGGCAGGCAGCGGAACCACTGAGCTAAATCCCCAGCCCCGTGATCTGCTCTTCTGGAGGCGTGGTGCCAGGTACTCAGGATACTGACATGAAGGGGTCTCCCCTGCTCTCCTGGGCTCCTTGCCTGTGGGGGACACCTCACAGCTGATTCCCATGCAGGGGCCATGGTTGTGCTGGGTGCTTGAACACACCTCTGCAGTTGGGGACAGATAGGGAGGCAGTGGCTTCCTGGGGCTGTGGAAGGCTTAGCAGGGGAGAGAGAATGAGGAAGCAAGGTGTTAGAATGGGGTGTGGGGTGTGGGGATGAAGTCAGTTCTCTGGTGGAAGGGAGAGGAAAGGAATGATGTGATCCTGTACAAACTGGAGAGTCATAGAAAGCTCTTTGTGTTCTAACAGTGACAATACAATGACCATTAATTGAGAGCCCTTAGTACGGCTCGGGTTACACAAAGCATTTCATATATACATTGATTCTTCACAACAACCATTTGAGGTGGAGGTGGTTATTTTCTTCATTTTACAGATGAGGAAACAGCAGCTCAGGGGGGTTGAGGAGCTCACCTAGGTTCACACAGCAAATGAATGGCAAAGTTAGATTGAAATAGCTGAAGTGTCCCATTGCTGCCACCATGCTAAGAGAGCAGCAGCGGGCATGGGAAAGATCTTTGAGAGGTGCCGAGTAAATGGAAATAGTGTGACTTTGGGCAAAGGAGTAGAGGAGTTCAAGGTGATTGCTGTGTCCCTAACGTGGGTGCATTTGTGAAGTGATGTTATTAAGGCCTGGAGTGGGGATTTGGGCTGAGTGAGTTTGAGGACCATGGCACATCTGGGTAGAGGTAGCCCGTGAGCCCCTGGAATACAAGTCAGGAGATAGTGGCTCCAGGAGTCACAATGTGGGGCACATCCTTGGTGACCCTTGTGCGGTCCCCATAGACCCTCAGACCCGAGTGGCACCTCTATTTCTGTGCATCTCAGTCTTTGCTCAATTTCTCTGAGTCTCAGCCTTTGCTTAATTTCTTCCATGGCATGGGGAATCTTTCCATCTCCTCTGACCACTGACAGCCTCTTCCTTTTTCAAGATGCAACCAATGCAAATGTCAGCTCTCCAGCAAAGCTGCCGCACCCCCTTCCTGTGTTCCAAAAGTCCTTTATCAGGTCTCCTGGTATATTTTCTTTGTTCTTCAGAGTATTAAAAAGAGCCATGTCTCTGGGTTTCTCTCCTCTCTTCTGAGAGACTGATGAAGGCACTGTTTCTCCTCTGTCGGGTACTTATAGGAGCTCCGTAAAGTGGGTGATTGGACCCCATTGAAAAGGCTGCTTTTGGCTGCCCCGATGGGGTGGCTGTGCTGCCTGGAGCCCCCAGCCTCACAGCACAGGGTCAGGGCTCCTCGGCTCCACCACCCCCATTTCCATCTACTTTCCCACAGTCATGGGCTTCTGTCTCTTGTGCTCAGCCTAAGCGGAGCATCCCCTTTCCTGGGAGACACGAAGCAGGAAACCCTGGCAAACATCACAGCAGTGAGTTACAACTTTGATGAGGAATTCTTCAGCCAGACTAGCGAGCTGGCCAAGGACTTCATTCAGAAGCTTCTGGTTAAAGAGACCCGGTAAGAGGACAGAGAAGGGCACTGGGTTCTCAAGTACTGATCCTCTCCTGCTCTCAAAGATGTTTTGGTCTTGTCCTCCTTTGTCACACCTGTCACCTGCACCATTGTGGTCTAATCCAGGGAGGTGCTGAGAAGTGAGACTGGCCAAGACTTGGCATTCACCTTGTTTGCCCAGATCACTTGCTGAAATGCAAATAATTCTGTGAATGTGTGTGTGTGTGTGTGTGTGTGTGTGTGTGTGTGTGTGTGTGTGTGTGTGTGTGTGTGTGTGTGTGTGTGTGTGTGTGTGTGTGTGTGTGTAAATTTTTAGAGCTCATTACCTTGTGCAGTCTGTCCCAAAGGCACTAGGAACTCAGACTGGAAAGTTAAACTGCAGGATTTTTTTGTATACTGTATTTAATTTTTTTAAAATTTATTAGTAGGGCTGGGGATTTAGCTCAGTGGTTCTGCCGCCTGCCTCACAAGCACAAGGTCCCGAGTCCGATCCCTGGTACCAAAAAAAAAAAAATTGTATTTGTGTATATTTGCTGTACATAATGATCACATTCACCATTGTACCTGTACATAATATGACTTAATTCTTCTTTTTTCCCCATTTCCCTCCCCTCCCTTAAACCCTTCTTTCCCTCTCCATTTACAAAAGCTTTGTTTCCATTTTTTCCCTTGCATTCTCTTTTTAAAATCCCTTTTCCCTTCCTTCCCTTCCCCCTTCCCTTGTTCCCGTTCCCTTTTGAACATGTTCTTCCTACTTCTTGATATTTATCCTTGTTTTGCTCCTTATTTGACGTTTGTGTTTCTCACACAAGAGAAACAAAAGCTGAGGGTTTTCCAGCCCTTTCAGACTGGGAGTGGAGGGAGGAGCCCCAGAGAGGTCAGTAGACTGCTACCTTAAGTTTGCCTTTCGTGGGCTCAGACAGCTTAGGAAATAAACCCTAATTCTGGGCCCAGGGTCAGCCTGGGTCCTAGAAGGAGATGGGCAGAGAATTGTAGGGTGCTGGGTGCCCAGAGCAGGGCCTGGATCAGGCAGGAGGAAAAGGCCACCAGCTCTAGAAGGTTGTGTCCTCTTGGCCCCCCAGACTTCAGAGAGGGCCAGCATGCAGTCTTCTGAAGTGTGGGGCTCCTGACTTCCCCCGGTAAGGGCAGGCTAGGGAAGGCCTCCCTACCTGGGGACAGGGCAGTGGAGGACAAAGGAGGGACCTGGGAGGCAAGAGACAAATAGAGACTAGAAGTTTAGCAATGGCAGGCTGGTGTTTGGAGGGGTGTGGAAGCCCAGGAGAGCACTGATGAGTACTAGAGGGTGGCATTTGGCCTTCCAACTGTGGAACTGAAGGTGAGCACGCTGAGGCAGTAAGGTCTCGCCATGGCGGGTCTGCCTGAGCCCCTTCCCTGGCGTGCAGGGAGAGCAGCCAGTTCCCATCCACCTCTGCATCTTCCACTCTGCTGCTTTGATGGCACAGTCAAAGCAGGCTCAGAGTAAGAGTGGAGACTGTCACCCTCGGTCTGTCCACCTGGATCATCACTGTCTTCTAATCCTCCTTGCAGAAAACGGCTCACAATCCAAGAGGCTCTCAGACACCCCTGGATCACGGTAAGGACATGGTGATGAGTTCCTGTTCTGTCACCAGGCTGGCTGTGGCAGCCACCACAGAGGCTTGTGGAGAGGCCTTGGTGTGAAACACTAACCCGTGGGTGCAGATGACAATAGTCAGGGACCCCAAAGGCCTGAGCTTGCTCAAATAGGGTACCTATTAAGTTTGCATTTCATGGGCCCAGCCAGCTTAAGAAATAAAATTCTCACAAACCTCAGTTGAAACTTCCTCTTTGGGACCGTCTTACAAATGTTCTTTGTTAGAGGACATGTCACTGTCACTTCTCAAAACAGAAATCAGGATCCCTCTGTTGAAGAGAGATCAGTGGCAATTAAAAACCCTAGCTGAGTAAGCAGGGCCCCTTCTTTTTGACTTTTGGAGTGGGGCTTTGAGGAAAAGGTAATGCAATGATCGGACCCTGGCTTGAGGAATTGGGCTCAGAAACAGGCCTGGTGGGGGAGAGGGGCCACCGCCCCATTAGGGCAGTTTGGTTCCCTCTGGGGAGGGTCGGGCCAAAAGGTGAGTCCCTGCCTACCTTACCTTGTGCTCGAGCCTCTGGCTGCTGGTTTTCAGAGGACCTTGCTGTTTGTGTAGTGAAAAGCGCTTTGGGAGGGTGGGGGTCAGAGACCAGGATTCTGGCCCTAGTTCTGCTGGCCAACTAGCTGTACGCCCCGATACAGTGTTAAGGAGAAGATGGGCAGGATGATCTGAGTGTGCAGATGGGAGCAGGGGGAGCAGGAGTATCTGGGAGAAGGTCAGGTGCACGTGCTTGTGGAAGGGTGGGAAGGGCCAAGGGCCCTGCAGGAGAGGGACAGTCAAGAGCAGAGAGCTGGGGAGTCTCTTGGGCTGCTTTCTGCTGAGCATGCTGAAGGTTGCTGAGGCCTGAGGAGCTGTGAAAGAGAGACGCCCCTCAGCCTCCCTCTGCGAGCTGTGGCCTCATGTGCTCCAGCCCTTGAGGGAATGTCTGCAGAGTCCTGGCTGCAGCCTGCTTGTCTTAAATGTTATGCGCATGGAGGCCTCCTCTAATGGCCATGGACCCTCTGGCAGCACCCCGTACTCCTTTACCTTTCTTCTGGTGCGTGTGGGTGCTCACTGCACCCTAGTCTCCCTGCAACCTGCCTCATGCAGTGAATGCCAAGGAAGCCATGTGTGTGCCGACCTGCAGCTTGGGCTGCACTTTGGAGCCTGCATTCATTGTGTTAATATTCTGGTTCTCCTGTCCGAACACCTGCCAGTCGAAAGGAGAAGCCAGAGCCCCTGGGCAGTGGAAGACGCAGACCCCCCAGCTGAAGACCAAGCGCCTCAGAGAATACACCCTCAAATGCCATTCCAGCATGCCCCCCAACAACACCTATGTCAACTTCGAGCGCTTTGCCCACGTGGTAGAGGACATAGCTCAGTTGGACCAGGGATGTCGCACCCTAGCAGGGGCCCATGACACTCTCCAGGATGATGTGGAGGCCCTGGTCTCCATCTACAATGAGAAGGAGGCTTGGTACCGGGAGGAGAATGAGAGCGCCCGGCACGACCTGTCCCAGCTCAAGTACGAGTTCCGCAAGGTGGAGTCCTTGAAGAAGCTCCTGCGGGAAGACATCCGGGCCACCGGGTCCAGCCTGGGAAGTGTGGCCAGAAAAATGGACCATCTGCAGGTGCAGTTTGAGGCTCTGAGGAAGGAGCTCTCGGCAGACCTGCAGTGGGTGCAGGAACTGATGGGCAGCTTCCGGCTGGAGAGTGGAGAGACAGCTGGCCTAGGCTCTGTGCTCCGCTGGGACGCCAGCGAGTCCCTGTCAGAGCTGCTGAGCAGGTCACACACCGAGGAAGTTCTGGCCGGCTTGAAGCTCTGAGCACCTCACCCTAGTCAGTAATGTGTGCAGGATGGTTTGCCAAGCGCGCTCTTGTCTGCACCAGCTAGAATCATCCTGCAGGGCGTGGGTCTGCATCGCAGCCTTCCACCCCCTCCCCAGAAGCCACTGTCACAGAGCTGCCACTGTGTCTATTCTGTACCTCCTCTTGCCAACCTGCTTTTCTGAGAAGTGCTGGCAGAGCAGCCAAGCTGTGAAAACAATTAGAGATGAATACCCCTCAGCAGCCCACTTTCCCAGAGGGAGGACAGACGGCTGCCCTGGGGAGAGGCTTGATAACTGATTTGTGATGATGGATGTGCTCACCTCTCACTCCCACCCACAGGCTGTTTGACTGCAGATCTTGGGTAGTAGTTGAATTAAGTAAGGATAACGAAGTCAGCATGGTGCTTTCCTGCTGCAGAAGCAGGGATTTAAAATGCACAGAGAAAATAATATTGCCTTTCGTTTGAACTGACTTCTTACTTAGCAAGTCTTTGTGTCTGTGACCTCACTTGATCCCCAAAGCGGTCTGAACTTGGAAGGTGGGTGATGATAGGATGAGGGTGACATGATGATTTCCACCTAAGTGAGAAGGAAATTGACTCTGAGAGGGAGAATGACTCAGGATCATTCATAGCCAGTTGATACAGCTGGAACAGAAACCCTGGGTGCCCGTCTCCCAGCGGAGTTCTGTGGGAGGAAGTAGGAGGCTTAGCTGTAAATATTAAACTTTAATATTAAAGTTCAGATCCCGGACACCAGGTAAGCAGCTGCATATGTTTGGCCAGGTGTGGGCAGAAAGCAGACACCTGCAGAGATTGTTCCGGGAGCTGTGTCCCAGATAGCGCTGTGTTCCTACCAGCCCTGTCTCAGTCTGAAGACCACCTTCACGACAGGAGGGAAGGGGTGGCAGCTCCCTGTGCTCCATCCTTCCCCCCGCAGCTCCTGTCTAAGGATCCCAACTTTGTGTTGAGAATGAAGACCGAAAGGGGCTCAATAAAGAGATTCCTTTTCCTAAATGCTAGGCCAGTGGGCCCTGAAGGTCTAAGAAATACCATGAGAGTTTTTGAAGTGGGTGGACATGAAGATTGGGAAGCACCAGGCTCTGTGATCCCATCACAACCCAAAGCTTTGCGCATCCCACCTCCAGAACTCTATGATCTCATCTCTCTTTCCCTCTAGGAGGGACAAGTCAGTATTAATATTAGACAGGGCATGGAATACAGACCCAGCACTGAGCTAGAAGCTTGGGGTTGGGGTAAAAGACTATATAATTTGGAGCTATTCACAGCCTCACAAAACATACCAGTCAGAAATTTGAATAAAATGTTATTCCCAGTTTAGAACAGAGAGGCTATGTGATTTGACCCAAATCATATAAGGCACAAAAGTGGGGGCCTTCTGATGACAAGTCTGTGGCTCTTTCTGCTTCTCCCAAGTAACCCCCTGCTCCAGAAGTTTACCCTCTGTTGTGGAGGCAGATGATACTCTAAGTCACCCATCTATTCACAGATAATTATCAGGCACTACCAACTCGTAGACACTGAGATTGAGTTTGAGGATATGCCGAGTAAAACCATCCTGATTCCTGCCTTCTTGGTCCAGTGCAGGAGCCCAGCATTGATGAAGAATCACACACATGTAGAATGCAGCTGGACAGATGCTATGAGAGAGAAACAGCAGCCTGCCCTGGGGTTTGATCTGGAAGGGCAGGTGTCCTTGAAGCAGGGGACACTGGCCCTGAAATCTGCTAAGCAACAGGGCCATCATCTCAAGGCGCTGTGACCAGAGAGGAACATGGAAGGCTGGACATGCAAGGACCGGGGGAAAGCTGGAGGGGAAAGAGTAGGACTATGGTGTAATTGTGAGTGGAGTGGAGACAGGACCAGCAGGGCTTTGGCCATGTTAAAGAGCTCTGCTTTCAGGCCGGGGATTAACTCAGTGGTTCCACCGCCTGCCCCTCAAGCCCAAGAACCTGAGTTCGAACCTCAGTACCAAAAAAAGAAAAAAAAGCTCTGCTTTTGTCCCAGAGTCATGGGAAGCCACTGAAGGGACCTGGGCTGGTTCTGGAGGGGAAAGGCCCAGTGAGGGGCACAGCCAGGGAGTTGTTTCAGACAACATATGAAATATGGACCTCATGAAACATTTCCTTTACAACCTGATCTCCTTTTCTATTAGTATGATGGGTCATTTCAAATATATATGGCTGGGGATTTAGCTCACTGGTTTCGCCGCCTGCTGTGCAAGCACAAGGACCCAAGTTTGATCCCCTGTACCAAAAAACCCCCAACTATATATATATATATTTATATATATATAAATATATAATAAATATATAAATAAATATATATATAAATATATATATAAAAAATATATATATATATTTTTTATATATATATTTATATATATATAAATATATAATAAATATATAAATAAATATATATATAAATATATATATAAAAAATATATATATATAAAATATTGTCCCAGAAACTTTTACATTAAATATAAGAAACCATGATTATGAGAAGCATCATTACCTTATATATCATTAAGAAAAACAAAGGTCAATATGAGGAGTCTAAGAGACACCCCCCCCCGTCCCCCGCACACACACACAGAGCTGTGGCACCATCGGTGAGTGGGTGAATGAGAAATAGAACCACTGTGCAGAAAGAGAGCTCAGAATCAGGTGGGACTCAGCTGTGACCTTAGGTGGGGTGGCAAATCCCCCTGAGCATGGGCGGCCTGGACTGCTAGCCCTCCTGCAGTCTTGCTCTTTGAATGCACAGTCAGTGTGACGCTGAAGAACCTTAAGCTTTAATGCCACATCCCCCCGCCATCTGAGGCAGGTGGCCCCACAGGGCTGGCAGAAGCAGCACAATCCTCCCCCTCCCCCTGACTTCCCTCCAGGTGGACAGTAATGATAAGATGACAGAGTGGCAGATGCCTCCTGACCTCTGAGGCCCAAAATGTGCATCTTGGCATCAAGGAAGATGCCAAAGGTCTTGTTTCCTCAAATGGCCTTTACAGTCTTTTCGAAGACTTATCTGCCCTCTCACAGGATGTCGTGTGCTGGTTTGATATAAAGCACTGCAAGTATTAAAGGTCCTTGGGCTGTGCCGACAGAGATTGACTTATATAGCCAGGTTTTCCAAGGTGAGGGAGGCCACTGTCTGAGCATCATGGGACAAAGCAGTGAAGGTCAAAAAAATGCAATGAAAGTGTAAGGTGGTGGTAATGATTTGAATTAGGGAGATCGGGGAGGGAGAGAGAAGTGATTAGATCTATGGAGTCAGCTACACGCTGCATGCTGGGAAGTTCCGGGCGGTGACCCACCCCATTCCCTCATCGCGTAGCCTTTCACAGGAAAGTTGCCCATGTGGTCACCCCCACCCCCCAATGACAGAGCTGCGGGTCGTTTTCCTCCTAGCAAATTGTCCTCTCTGTGTTCACAAATGGTCGTGGTCACTGCTTCTCCATTTGATGTCTCATCAGTGGACCCTTTTCTGTACACAGAACATCAAAAGACAAAGGGACTCGAGAAATGGCCCCTGTCACCTGCCAACGGAACTCTGTTCTCCTTTGGCAGCACACTGAAGCTGAGGGAGCGCCAGGGGCTTGTGGGGTGCAGCCAGCAGCCTGCTTGCTCTGCTCCCCATGGGCACACAGTGCAGGACCGATGATGTTGGGGTGGGGTGTGTGGCAGGGGTGCTTCACTGGGACCTGGAGGGAGGAAGCCTTGGGCTGGGGGAGCTGCTCTGTGGGCAGCCGCTCTGCCATCATGGCAGTTTTTAATCCATGGACTATGAATGAAAGGTTGGCTTCTGTGCCGATGAGACAGCATCGCAGCCGCGTGGGAGGGGAGAGTGAGGTGGTGGCTTCTCCCTGAGTTGTGATTCGGGCCTGGGGAGGCAGCGCCCCAGCCACGCCCTCAGGCAGATGTCCACAGCATTTGATTGCCCGAGTTGTGTCAGGAAGGGTGATGATTAGTTGTGGATGGTTTTGCAGATGCCACAGGCTGGCACAGTAGCCCTGACAGGGGAAATCAGAGTCTGCTCTGGGAGTCCCGGCCCTGCAGGTGACTGGAAAAGATGGCGGTTTCCCTCCTCACTAGCTGCCACAGCCCAGTCTGCCCCTGTTGGCTGTGTGCCCAGCCCTGCGCCCCTCCCCACTGTCGACCTTCTGTAAATGTCTGGTGCTGAATGTCCTTCCTCCTGTGTGAAATTCTTGGCCTGTGGAGAAGATTCTTGGCCCCAGGGAGGAGCCCCAGCAGTGGGCATGTTCAGGTTGCAGAGGGGCCAGTTCATTTGAACAAACACTTGATTGTGCTCTGGCTCTGGGGGGAGGGGGGTGACAGATAAGGAGAAGACAGCCCCTGAATAAAAGACTCAGTATCTGGGGCAGATGGGGACCCAGCCAACTGGGAGGTGAGAAAGGCTGTGAGGAGTGATGAATAGAGGTTCCGAATGTCCTCAGACACAGGGGAGAGATGATTTCTGATTGAGATAGGTCAGGGGGACAGCAGAGAGCCGAGGCCTTCCCAAGGATGGCGACCCTGTCCCCCAAGCCGTAACCTTAGAAAGAAGATGCCAATTGAAATTTTGTTGTTTTATTTTTGTGGTACTAGGGTTCAAACCCAGGGCCTTTCTACTGAGACACATTCCCAGCCCTTTTTAAAGTTTTTTTATTTGAAACAGGGTCTTGCTGAATTGCCCAAGCTGGACTCAAACCTGGGATCCTCCTGCCCCAGCCTCCCAGCGTGGTGAGATTACAGGCATTCTCCACCATGCCTGGCTTGTGCTGAGTAGAATTTGGAGGGATGGCAATGAGCCAGATTGGGTCAGGAGCTCGGAACTTTTGGGAGGAGGTTAAAGAGCAGGAGATTACCGAGATTAAAAAGAGGACGGATTTTGTTTTTAGCTTTGTTATGGAAAAATTTCAAAACTTTTGTAAAAGTGCAGCAAATGGTGTAGTGAATTCCATGTCCCTTTTGCCCCCTTCAGTGGGAACCAAGTCCTGGGCAGTCCTCTTTCACTCATTTCCCCCCACTCCTTTTTGATGGAGTATTTGGAGCATTTTAAAACAAACTTCGGACTTACTTAACTCATAAATTGCTCAGCATGAATCTCCAATAAGGGTTTTGTTTTTAGTGTAACCTCCATGCCGGGATCACCCCTCACAAAATCAGTGATAATTTTTCTGTCTCATCTGGACACCCATTCCCTCCTCATATGGCCCCTGTTTTTCGCAGGTGAACAGTTAACGCTAGTTTGTCCACAGCAGGACCCAAACACAGGTGACAAGTGGCATTTGGGTGACGTCTTTCAAGTCTCTTGATATAGCACAGGAGAGAGAGCTTTGGAAGCTTTTCCTGGGGGTGAAAAATTGCTCAGAAAACCAGAGGTCCTGAAAAACAAAAAATTAAATTTTAAAAAAGCGAGGCGTGGTGGCAGATGCCTGTAATCCCAGCACTCAGGAGCCTGAGACACCAAGGATTGCTGCAAGTTTGAGGCCAGCCTGGGCTACATAGTGAGACCCTGTCTCTAACTAAATAAATAAAATAAAAATTAGAAAACCAGAGGTCATGGAGAAGAGGATGAAAGAGTTCACATGCGCTCATGCTGAAGCCTAACTCCAATAGGTGAGTCCAGGCCAAGAGAAGGCAGGGGCATTTCCACCTCCTCCTACTGGCTTATGTCCTGGAGGTGACAACCCGCAGGCCCTGGCCCCCTGCACTTCTCCCACCTGGTCAAGAGGAGGCGGAGACAGGCACCACGAGCCTCACCTGCACCTTGCTGGGAACAAGGAGGCCAGTAGGGCCACCAGCACAGGCAGCAGCAGAGGTGCCCCCTGCGGAGACCTGTGCCAGAGTGACAGTCCCATGCAGGGAAGGGAAGTGAGTGCCCCTGGATTTCACAGAGCGTGAGTCCGCAGGGGTGGCACAGCCACAGGGCTGAAAAGTTGTAGTCTGTTGGCAGTTTCTACAAAAGCCTGGGATAGAGAACACTGCCCAGGACTGTCTCTTTCTGCAAAGCCAGGGCTCCTTTTTCATCCCTTGTTGGTGGCTGCTGCTTTTTTTCTTTTTCCTTTTCTTTTTAGTACTGAGGATTAAACCCAGGGTCTTGCTAAGTCGCTAAGTTGACCAGGCTCAGTTCAAACTTGAGATCCTCCTGGCTCAGCCTCTCAGGGTGCTGGGATTACAGGGGTGCGTCACCACGACCAGCTAGACTTTTTCAAAGGCATTTGCCTCTACATAAACAAGACCTAACTCCAGCCACAACTTTCTGTCTTCTTGTCTCCCTTTCCAAAATTTTTCTAAGAGGCCAAACCGTTCCTCGGAGCCGGGTCAGAAATGTCCTGCTCCCTAGCATCACTGGACCCTATTCTGGAAGGTGGGTATCACCTCACATGCCCAGTTTAATTCAAAGTGTCCTCAAGTTGCTGCCCTCCTCCTTTTCCTTCTGGTAACCGATTGCAGCAGAATTTATGTCTTTGACTTTCCAGGCTAGGATATTGTTGAGCCTCTTAGCAACCAGGGAGGCTATTGATTAGGAAAGGCCAGGGGACAGATTCACAGGCCAGGGCCTCCTCCCTTGGCTCACGCTGTTGTGTGTGCCACACTCGGGGCCTTAGAAGTAATCACGTCACTTCCCATCAGTGGCCCCGGGAGCCATCCCGCCTGACATTTCCCCTTGTCTGCCTGTTGGCTGTCAGCTGGGGGCACAGCCATTTCTCTCTTGGATGAGGGTACCCACCAGTAAGAGGACAAAGAGTCCCTTTCCTCACACTTTTTCAAACTGTCCCTGTGAGGGGCACTGGCCCCTGCCAGCGTTAGGTTCAAAGGCCAGCCCTGGCTGAGTAAGAGGCAGGCATTAGTGAAGTTAGAGGTAGAGTTGGTTTATGGGTTGGGGAGGCTGTGTGCTAATCACCTTGGGAAAGAGATATTAGGATGTGGGATAGTGGGGGAGGGGCTCACAAAAAATATAGAACAAGATGTCAGGTTGTGACTCGTGCAGTAAAAAAGCTGGGCATGGGCATCGGGTGGGGGTGATTGGGGTGCTCTTTTATTTAGGGCGGTCAAAGAAGGCTTCCCTGAGGAGGTGGTATTTGCACAAAGATCTGAACCAAGTGACAAAGTAAATATAAGGAAGCAAAGCACTCTGGGAGACTGAGCCAGGAGGATTGGAAGTTCGAGCCCAGCCTGGGCAACTTAGTAATTTAGGGCTGGAGATGTTCCT